CTACTGAGGGTGTTCCGACATCGTGGTTCTCAGACAATCTAACAAGCATCCATGCTTAAAATTTGAAAAATTCATACAAGCAAACAATTTAACGAATGACCAACAATGCTCTTCCGCAAAAAAATTGTTCTGCGAGCCAACTACACTAGTTTACCCAATTAAACGCAAACTTGAATGAAATAGAGGAACTCACTTTCCAGAGTGAAGAATCATTCTAACAAAGCCAACGACAGGCACAGTCTCCTGCAAAATCCGATCCTCCCAATCCACCCACGTGTCACAATCTCCACCCTTCTCATCGTCTAGATCCTCATTGTTGCCGGAAGCTGAGGCCATGGGCTCTCCCAACAAATCCGCGCCACCGTTTGAAATCGGCCCACCCCCGTCCGAATTCGTCATTACCAACGTATGAGCTCCGCACGAACGGAAAGACGCCCCAAATCGGCGTAAAATTAGGTTTTTCGACATGGGTTGCCTGTGGAATGAAGGAATATTAGGTGAATTTAAAGCAGAAATCGAAGCCATTTCTGTACGCAAGTGTGGGAGGACGGTTTTTGGTAAGTTTATAGTTTAGCATCGCAAGTGATGATAATCATTTTTGGTTTATTGTACTGAAACAGATCGGTAATGGAATCTCTTCTATTTTCTTCCCCACAGCTGAAGAATGACGATAAACCCTGCAACAAATAGCGATTAAAATACATTGGCTGGTTGGATTTTTTTGATAACAGATAAAACGCACTTATCAACGGTTTATCCGTTGTTTATCACGCGTTTTTTCTTTATGAAATAAAACTGGAAAAAAAAAATTACAAAAGTAAACAAAGTAAATTGTATTGCTTTAATTATATTTAAAATACAGAATAGTAAACATAAAAATTTAATATAAGAAAATGAATAAAAAAATAAAATAATTAAATTTAATTTACATTTTTTTTATTTTCATTTATAAAATAGGTACCTTTTATATTTGTATTTTATTTTATTTCTTATTTTTCATCACTAATATTTAGGACATAAAATAGTACAAAAAATTATATATAAAATCAAATCAAAATATTTATATATCGCAATATCTTTTTATCACATTGATAAATAGGAAAAAAACATTTTGTCATCTGAATTATAATGATTTTCGCGCATTACGAAATAAACTTTTTTTACAAACCACTACCTGAACTATACGCGTTTGTCAAACTGCCACCTAAATCGGATATAAAAGTGATTTTGATTAAAAAAAAGCTGATTATTTTGAGGCATTTGAGGAATTTCATATTTTTTTTTTAAAAAAAAAATGAAAACAGATGAAGTAAATTCCAAGTAAAAATATCTGCTAGCATCATTGAAGTAAAAATGCAGTCGGCCATGTCCTTCGAAAATCTTTGCTCAATGTCTTGCATCGAGACCTTCACCCTCGTGCAAATTATCACAATCGGTGGACTTCTAGCTGTGGATAGGGAAGGTAGATGCACTTGAATATCTTCAATGTCTTCCTGCAGGTGGCGGCGATAGCCTTCCTCCTCCCCCATGTCCTTGCTCCCCTCAACATCGAGATCCTCATAGCTATCGGAGAGCACTCGAGCAGCTTCTGCTCCGGTCTAACTTCCTCGCGGAGCCCGCTGCCACCTACGCAGTCGTCGACGGCATCGTCGACGATGACTGAGCTGAGGTCTCCCAGGAGCTCCGTGCCTTCCTACGAGACAACTGGTCGGAGGCGGGTTTTGTGGAGGGGTCTGACCCGGTGACCGCGCGTCGCAACACGGCAAATTGGAATTTATATTTTTCCTTGATTAACCTCTACTAACTAGTAGCAGTGACGAGTAAGGGTCGATCCCACGAGGAGTGCGAATCAAATTGTCAATTTTCTTGTATTAATTGAGATTATAAAAGCAATAAAAAAAAGGGGTTGTTGGATTTAATAACTAGACTATCTAAAATCTAATGCAACAAATAAAATAAAAACAAAGAAAATAAAAATAAAATTAAAATAAATAATAGAAATATCTAGTTCACGGTTCCGTCTACACCCTCGGCCGACTCGTCTAATCAACTTTAGTATCAAATTTCGTTATCTTATGGAATTACTAGCCCTAGATAGCAATATGGTCTGCTACCCAAATTTTTTTTTATTTTTAATTGAACTGCGAGACGCTCTACGATTAAATCTGACTTCTCGTACAGTCTAGAAAACGCTTTCTAGATTTAATACAATTACCCGCTTTACGAAATAGAAAAATAGGCTAGACTAAGTAGTGAATTCAACCACGTTCGTTCACTTAATTAGGCCGTATTATCCCGATAGTTACCATTTTCCGGTTGCTACTTATGAATTAAACTCAACAACAATTACGGATTGCAAGTTCAATTCTACTGTAGATATGAAAAATTTTATCTGGGTGATCAATCTAAATAAAATCAAACACATCATGATTTCTCAATCAAAATAACACAAACAATTTCATAAACATAGCAAAATATCAATCACCATAATTAAGTAAACATAGTCAAATACGTAAGGTTCGACATCCCCAGAACTAGAAATAAAATCTACTCTAACATAATAAATAAAAATAAAAGAAAGAGAATAAAATTATCGCCTTTCTTGTGCAGGTGCAGTCTCCCTCCGCGTTTAATCGGATTCCTTGCGTCCTCCGGCGTTATCTTTCCTCTCTGCTGCGTATTCTTCTGTCTGCGTGCTACTCTCGCAAAATAAATCCTCTCCTCCTAGGTATGTGTGAATCTCCAATTCAATATATTTTCTTTTCCACCAACTAATTCCTCTCCGATGGCTGCTGCGTGAATGTGCCCAGGCTTGCCCTCCAATTAATTGTCATTTGCCCCCACCAAATATTAGCACTTTAAGAGTTGGGCCATTAAACACACTTAGCACACATGGGCCTAAATTGAGCTGGTATAGGAAACTGCTGGGTCAGTACGGGGCACCCCATACTGCTCCGGATGAAATTTCTTTAATTAACATCCTCCAATATCCTAAAAGTAAAACATAAAAATATCAAAACACAAGAATCTATCCAAGAAAATAAATAAATCAAAAAATATATAAATGCGATAAAATTAAGCATATAAAAATACGCTAATAAATATATAAAATACACATTTTTTTCGACCAATCACCCAGGACCCGCCACTTTACTAACATGGCACGGCTTTACCAACCAAGCTTCCGCCACCGGTCTTTCGCTCCATTTGTTCGCACATGGATTTATGATGAATTTTGTGGAGAATTTATAATGAGTTTTGAATCTCAAGTTTCATTAAAAATGCTGAAAAAGATCACAAGCGCATAGCAAATCTGCAGATGTTTTGCTGCTTATTCAACCCATTATCAAGAATCCAATCCACTCCACATCAAATAGTAAAAACACATAAAATAAAAGGCCTTATTTTTTACTCGAATTTCCTTTGGTAAGCTCCCTGTGAGGAAGTCAGGGGCTCCCATAGAAGCTCCGAGGTGGAGATGCTGCCTCTAGATAAAGCTATTTTTAGGGAGGAGAGGCGATAGCGAGCGGCCGCCCAGTCCCAATATACGAAGTCGCTCTTTTCACACCGGTGTTAGTTAGGAGGAACCGAAAAGTCTAGTAGAGCACTTTGTGAAAGAGTTATATTTTTGGCAATGAAGTTCAAAAATTAATATAAGTGAAGATATATTCTTGCAAGCATGAGAAATAAAAAGGGAAGTTCTTTTATTTATATTTATATTTATATATTCGAATATATTTATATTTATATTTATATATTCGATTTATATACATATATATTAGATTTACATGATCTTATTATGGATATATTTTGTAGGAAATCATATAAGAAGGAAAGATCTTTGGAAAGAGAAGATAGAGATCTACACCTACCATATCTCTTATGATTTACATGGAAGGAAATTGGATAAACTTGGAAGGAAATTAAAAAGGAGTCCTATACTTGGAGAACACTCCACATCCTAGGGATTGTATATATACCTGCTTGAAGAACGAATTTTGGAGAGCTGAGAGCATTATATTCTATTCCATATTCGAGCTGCAAGCTTTTTGTGTTTTGTTTTTGTTGGTCAGTTTTCGGTGTTCTTACGTCATCGAAGAACTGAAGTCTGTTTTGTTTTCTTTTCTTTGTTTTTCATTCAAACACTTGTGTGATCAGTGCTTAGTGATTAAGTACTGTCTTTAGCTCGAGGGATTCGAGAGGTAAAATCCACGGGACGTGGTTGGAGAAGTAGTTGATAGAATCGTGTGTAGTTGTGGCTAGGCTAGAAGGGAGTTCGAGTCGTGTAAGTCCAAACTATACAAGTGTGCACAAACGGTTTATCAATGAAAGAGCTCTGAGGGGAAGTGGGACGCTTCCCTGAAGAGTTTTTAAATCTTCGATTTATTGCTTCCGCATTTTGTTTTAGTTCGTACTACAATTAGCGCACTCCGTGACAAATACCTACGTTTCACTTGGCACCAGAGCAGTGTTCCTGTTCTACATACGGGATAAAGATCTTTGGGCTGTGATTGGTCACCATGATTCACGACGGCATGTCCGTTTCGCGCCCTCCGTACCTCGACGGTTCTAACTATAATACTGGAAATCCATGATGGTGATATTTATTCGCTCTTTGGGTAAAGGAACCTGGCAAGTCATTGAGTCAGGCTGGACCACACCACTCATGCCGAAAGCTCCCTCGGAATCAAAGTCATCAACCTCGGCTGCTCATGTTCTAGTCGAGAAACCAAGGGATCTTTGGACTGATGTTGAGAGACAAGCAGAAGAAGCAAACTTTCATGCATTATATGCTATCATGTCTGCTGTGGATCCAACTCGCCATAAGATGATCATCCAGTGCACAACAGCTCGCGACGCATGGAAGATTCTTGAGAGGCAATTTGAGGGTACCAACGCCGTGAAGTCTTCCAAGCTCCAAATGATTTCCACGGAGTTCGACACTATTCGCATGAAGGATGATGAAAATATTGATAGGTACTATGCACGTTTTTGTGATCTCGTTAACCAAAGTGCAATGCTTGGTGAGGAAATTTCTGAGGCGAGGCAAGTGCAAAAGATCATGAGGACCCTTGCCAAACGATTCCGTGAAAAGATCACCGCACTTGAGAGCTTTCAGCGAGTCGAGCCTCTTGGTCTCGATGACTTACTTGGAGAACTTCGAACCTTTGAAATCAATCGTGGTTATGATAAGATGGGAATAAGCAAAGGCTTAGCCTTGAAAGCCAATCTTCCAACACAGGCTGAAGACGAAGAGGATTCTGATGATGAGTCTCTTGATGCTGAAAGTATTGCTAAGGCTTTGGATGTTCTTACACGCCACTTCTCTCAGTTAAAGAAGAAAAAGGAGTTCCAAGGGAAGAAGCCTACTGACTTCAGTAAGAACATCAATCAGCAGTCTGGTGAACGACGTTCCAACTCACATTCTCAGAAGACACAGAATCAGGACGTAAAGAAGAACCAATGCCGTGAATGCAAGGGATTTGGACACTTCCAGAAAGACTGTCCGAATTTCACGAGGCAGAACAAAACCTATCGAGCCACGTGGGATGATGATGAAGACGATGATGACCAGCAACACACGAACAAATTTGCCGTCACTTCTCTCAATAACTTCACGTGTTATACAGCCTCTCATAAGCCTTGTGATGCCGATTCAGGTATGTGTTCTTACACGTATAATTCTCATAGTGATTCTGA